ATATGGATGGAACTAGAGAACATTATGCTAAGTGAAATAAGTCAGTCAGAGAAAGACGAATGCCATATGATCTCACGTATACGTGGAATCTAAAAAACTGAATAAATGAGAAATATAAACAGAAATAGTCTCAGAGACACAGAGGAAAAACTGAGGGTTACCAGTTGGGAGGGGGTGGGGTTGAAGGAGCAGGGGAAGGGACAAGACAATACAAATTGGTAACTACAATATGGCCTCAGGGATAGAAAAGACAGTCCGGGGAATATAATCAATAATGTTGTAAATATATTTTAGGGGCCAGTTGGACTCAGGTCTTGTTAGGGAGATGACTTCATAGTCGGTGTAGAGGCCTGACCACCGCACTGTATTTCTGAAGCTGATGTTGAATAATATTGTAGGTCAACTATAATTACATATACATATAGTCACAGGACGTGGAGTAGAGTGTGGAAATGGAGTCAACAGAATTGTAATAGATAAGCATGATATCGGGGGTGGGAGGGCAGTGGATGGGGGAGGGGGGTTGTTACTTAGTGAGAGGTGAAAAGGATAACTATTGTATTGTTCTGTACACATGAAACTAATAATAAAAAATAATAATTAAAAAAAAAATAGAATAAGCCGGCGGGGGCTGACCTGTGTTGGTGACACTGTACTCTTCACTCTTCTTCCGGGTCTGGTAGATGATGCACACCCAGACCAGGGACGTCAGGACGATGCTGCACACCACGGCGATGGTGAAGATGCCCACAGTGGTGCCGTCGCGCCGGCAGCCAGGGCTGGGCGCCACGCTCAGCTGGCTGTGCGCACGCTCGGTACCCAGCGCGTTGGACATCTCGCACGTGTACCGGCCCGCGTCCTCTGCCACCACGTTCTGCACGACAAGCAGCTGGTTGCCGGGGGTGAAGTGGTGCCGCTCTGTGAGGCTCAGGGGGCGGTTCCCCTTCAGCCAGGTAATGCGGGGCGGGGGGCTCCCAGTCGCTTTGCACTGCAGAGCCACCGTTTCTCCCACGGACACCACACGGTCTTCCAGGGGCACCAACAGAGACGGGGTTTCTGAAGTCAGAGACTTAAGGTTAGTGTGTGGGCCTTGGCAACTGCGGATCTGCCTTGTCTTCTGGACAAAGGGCCACCCCACACATCAGTGAAACGTGCGGCATCTGTTGTCAGAGGGGCAAGCTTCTCAGATGCCCTCCTCACACAACGACCAGATCAGTGCCATGCTGGGGGCGGTTTCTACAGGGAGGCTGTATTAACCTGTAGCCACAGGAGCCCCGACTGTCCCCCAGCTGTCCTGTGACGGGCCTGTGTCTCTTCTTTACCAAGAGCACACCTATCCTGCCCGATTCTGAGAGCAGTTCTTACCTGCAGTGTTTTCTACCTAAGTCCTATTGTTTTAAAGAGAGAGAACCACTTGTTCAAGAAAATCTCAGAGAACAGCCTAAAATGTTACAGTCGCAACCGCCCACCTCAGGCTCCAGGGGACAGTCTGAGAACCTTGCCTCTGGGTAACTGTGATATTTAAGGAACACACACACACACACACACCCCACACCCCCGGATACATTCGGTGTAGCAGGAGTCGCACCTAAGACAGTCAGGGTGGCATTCGCTGAAATGGAGCCGGCCGAGTTCTGGGCGGTACAGCTGTAAACCCCCATGTCGTCTACTTTCACATCGGTGATGAAAAACACATCGTCGTCTGGCATCACGTGCATGCGTCTCTCACGGGCTGCAGGGAAATCGGTGCCTCCATCCTTCTGCCAGGCAATCTGCGGGTTTGGGTGGCCGGTGGCAGCACATTCGAGGCGGGCCATGGTGCCAGTCCGGATGGCAATGTCATGGGGCATTTTGGTGAAGGACGGCAACACTGTAAAACACATCCAATCAGGGTCGGGTTACAGGAAAGTTCGATGCAAAGGCCAGGAAAATCCTCTGGCAAACGGACCCACACTCTGTCTGGGCGTCAGTTCACCACCTCAGCACCCGTCATGCCAGTGTCTGCCTGGAGCCACTGCTGCCACCTTTGAATGAGGAGCAGTAGGTTTCCAAGGGCCACCCAGCTTTTCCCGGCCACAGGGGCAGCACTTCCCCGGGTCGCCCTCACACCCGAGGCTGGCCACAACCCCCTTCCATGTAGAGATGTGAACGAAACCTCTCCCCTACTCGCCCTCATGTGGTGATCAGGTCATAAAGGGATACCCCATAAATGTGAGGCCTGATGCGTGCCAGTAGGTGAAAGCCTGGGAAGCAACAGTATCTGCTCCAGCAAGATGCAGTTACAGAGGGAAGGATGACAGCCCTTCACCCCGGGGAAGCAGTGGGGTGGCTCTTCCTTCTTGAAGCATTTATCCCAACTGTTTACCCAGCCACATGTCAGGAATCACAGTTCCCATCAAGGTTGCTTTGGTGGAGAGTCTTACAATGAGGACGCCCTCAGAAAAGCCAAGACAACCAGCCAAAGTGTGGTAAAGAATGCGTTTTTCCAAACAGGAAGCCTACTGAATGGGAGAAAATATTTGTCAACGATATATCTGATAAGGGGTTAATATCCAAAATTTATAAAACACTCATGCAACTCAACACCAAAAAAACAAACAACCCAATTAAAAAATGGGCAGAGGATATGAGGAGACATTTCTCTAAANAGAGAGAGAGACAGGGCTCAAATTAGTAAAATCGGGAATGAAAGAGGCGAAGTGACAACAGACTCCACAGTAATACTAAAAATCTTAAGAAATTACTATGAGCAATTATATGCCAACAAATTTGATAATCTGGAAGAAGTGGATAATTTCCTAGAAGCATACAACCTTCCAAAGCTAACTCAAGAAGAAACAGAATACCTGAACAGATGATTACCATCAAGGAAACTGAATCAGTAATCAGCAAGCTCCCAACAAACAAAAGCCCTGGACCAGATGGCTTCACAAGTGAATTTTACCAATCATTCAAAAAAGAATTATCACCTATTCTTCTCAAACTATTCCAAAAAACCCAGAAGGAGTGAAGGCTCCCAAACTCTTTCTATGAAGCCACAATCACCCTGATCCCAAAACCAGACAAAGACAGTACAAAAAAGGAAAACTACAGGCCGATATCTCTGATGAACATAGATGCAAAAATCCTCAACAAAACCTTAGCAAACAGAATTCAGCAATATATTAAGAAGACCATACATCATGACCAAGTGGGTTTCATCCCTAATAAGCAAGGTTGGTTCAACATCCGCAAATCAATTAATGTGATACATAACATCAACAAAATGAAAAATAAAAATCATATGGTCATATCAATAGATGTAGAAAAAGCATTTGACAAAATACAACAACCATTCATTAAAAACTCTTAGCAAAGTGGGAATAGAGGGATCATATCTCAACATAATAAAGGCCATATATGATAAACCTTCAGCTAACATACTCAACGGGCAAAAGCTAAAACCATTCCCTTTAAGATCAGGAAAAAGACAAGGCTGTCCACTTTCTCTACTCTTATTCAACATAGTTCTGGAAGTTCTAGCCACAGCAATTAGACAAGAAAAAGAAATAAAAGGCACACAAATCGGTAAGGGGGAAGTAAAATTGTCATTATACGCAGATGACACGATACTATATAGAGAGAACCCCAAAGACTCCATCAAAAAAATACTGGAGCTGATAAATGAATTCAGCAAGGTTGCAGGATACAAAATCAATAAAATACTTAGGAATAAATTTAACCAAAGAAGTAAAAGACCTGTACTCAGAAAATTATAAGACACTGAAGAAATAAATAAAAGAGGATACAAACAAATGGAAAAACCTACCATGCTCATGGATAGGAAGAATATAGTTAAAATGTCCATACTGCCTAAAGCAATATATAGATTCAATGCAATACCTATCAAACTACCTAGGGCATTTTTCACAGAAATACAACATATAATCCTAAAATTTATGTGGAACCAAAAAAGACCCTGAATAGCCAAGGCAATCCTGAGAAATAAGAACAACGTCAGGGGCATCACGCTGTCAGACATTAAAACGTACTACAAAGCTACAGTAATCAAAACAATATGGTACTGGCATAAAAACAGGCACATAGATCAATGGAACAGAATAGACAGCCCAGAATTAAATCCAGGTATATATGGGCAGTTAGTCTATGACAATGGAAGCAAGAATTTACATTGGGGTAAAGATAGTCTATTTAATAAATGGTGCTGGGAAAATTGGACTGACACATGCAAAAAAATGAAA